GCAAACCGAGTGGTACTATTTGCGTAATCCCCCACTTCTGTGTCCACATACCAGTCAATATATTAGCTGGCTCAGCGAATCTTTTTTTTTCCGTGATGTAACATAGGTACAAATTTGTATTTGGTTTAGATGTACACAAAGACACATCTAGCCTCAGTACAAAAATTGTCTCTTGCCATTTAGTGTGGAAGTAAGGTGTCCGGATGGTGGACACATCTATGTTCCATGGCTTTATCAGATTAAGGAGTTTAACAGTTTAACAGTTCCATTTTGCGTGATATTTGGAAATATAACTATGATCTTTACATTAAAATGTGTTTATATTCCATAGATTTTCACATGTAAACGCATTTAAATCATGGTTATATACCCAAATATCATGAAAAATGGAACTGTAAAACTGTTAAACTGTTAAACTTCTTAACCTGATAAAGCCCATGTACCGGGTTTATATTGTATCTTTGAATCTCGCTTTGAATACGTTCCAGTTTGGGATTCGGTGGGATTACATAGTGGCTAGGGTCGAAAGAGCCATGGCGTCTAACAGACGAAGGCCGTAAGCAAACCCGCAACACTAGAGCCCATTTAAAGATACACCCACTACATAAAATATGTCAACACAAAGGTTTCGATCAGGTCCCAGGTTCGTGCAACTGAAGTCGCAAAGCTGCCGCATACCCAAAATTTACAGTGCGAATTCAATAGTGTAACTGCAGTAACGTGCAGTATGCTATTTGTTTCATAAATGCTTCCCTTGTCTCACGAGCCGACCAATCCACCGAACTGGAGTCATGCCCCAAGACGAAGGGCACGGACCACATGCTCCGTAACAAGGGGAACACCGGGGCGCCGCCGGGGCGGGGAGTGGTGGTCCTTAGCGCCGTGCGGTTAGGCCACCCATCCGGCATTGCCGTTAGACGAGCTGCGGCGATCACTACGCAGTGGGGCGCCGCCACTTATTTATCAAACCCGCACAAGTGAATTAAGATTCCTACATGCTCTAAAGTCCAGAGGCAAGTTAGGCCTCCAGACAGAGCACGGTACTCAGGCAAACATACAAAAATTGATCTCGCTCAACTTTACTTTGTTTCGTAAGAAATTCAGCGTCGCCAAGACCGCAAGAACGAATGGACAAGAAGACTCCGCAGGATACTGTTGAGGTTGCACGTCTAGTAGTCCGCTGTTTGCAGTCATGAGAGAGAAAAACGCCCTTCACTCTTGTAGAATAGGGGATTTGAATTTTGGCTATCGGAGGAAGAAGAATAGTGGGTAGAACATAAACGTTCCCGATTGGCCGAGGACTTCCCTCGTCTTCGTCGGTAGTGGCGGTAGAGGCTCGGCCTATCAGAAACGTTTATGTTCTACCCGCTTTTCTTCTTCCTCCGCAAGCCGAAATACACTATTGTATTGTAGCGGGTGATTGGAGCGGGTGGGGATGCGCAAGGCAAAGGGGCTGTCAAAAAAAGATACGGTTTGGCCGACCGACCGACCGACCGTCAACCTCGGAACGACCAGGACGACTAAAATATCGTGTTCGGGGGTTTTCTCGCACGCTGATCGTCTAAATCTGGTAGTGCCGATGTCGTCCGGCCTCCCGGGGACGTCATTGGGGACCTTCTCGAGCACGCCGATGACACTCCCACGACAAATACGATTCGGCTCCAAACGTCGTGTACCCCGGCCGGTGCATATTTCTTAAAAGCCGACAAATACAATTATTATTAATAGCAAATCGCCCATAGTAGTTTATTATCCTGAACATTTCTCTATTGTCACATGGCACTTCCCTGGCGTTGCCGTCTGGAGCCACACAACGATGCACGGGACGGGAAGCCCCAAAGGATCACATCCTGGACAAGCGAGGCGGGATTGCCTACCCCAGGAAAGAATCACATCCCGCGACCACGATATGTCGGTGAGTATGCCGTAATTATTGCTCTCCCCCATTGCCGTGCCGGTGTGTAAGGGTCCGTCCGAATTCTCCTCCGGTTGGATCCGGACGGTTCGGTTCGGTTTGGTTTGTGGCCGTGGCGAGCCGCGCCAGCCGCCATTCATTCGGCTGCTACCAACACCCGCGACGCTGCGAGGGCCGCGACCGCGAGTGCCCCGCGAGATGACAGGCCGCTAGTCGCGAGGATATGCACCCCTATGACGGGGGTGATCCTCAGGGGTGACTCGCGAGCTACCCCACAGCGGCTGCGCTGTCCTTGTCGCGAATGTGTGGCTGCTCTGAACGGCTGGCACGGCTCGCAACGGCCGCAAAGCAAAGCAAACCGAACCGAACCCAACCGACCCAACCGGAGGAGAATTCGGACGGACCCACGATCGGCGGTTCGGCGTTTCTGCCAAATACCGATAATACCTACTCATATAATTATTGATCATAGGATTTTAACCAGAATTTTAGAGTGGACATCGCCGCTTTTCGTTATTAATCGCAAGGTATAGTGCTTACTTGTTTCCGGTCCGGAATATTGAATTGTTCCATCCGGTTATTGTTGTAGGAGGTTATGCTCCTCTCGCTCAACTTCTACACGCACAATTAAGTTGTAAGTTATTTTTTGAGGCCGAGTAAATGATGCCCGTGATGTAAATAACTTGGCTCACTGTCAGCTCTGTTGAAAAGGTGTTGAATGGGTCGACTCCTCCAATCCATGCAGTATGTTAAATACTGTTGTAGGTCCTTATGCAAATGGGCGAACCTGCCAGTGTTTTATCACAAATCATGTATTTTACTCTATTTTATTCTCATGGAACAGAAAACTTTATTACTTTCTGATTGGGGTGCAAACCGAGTGGTACTATTTGCGTAATCCCCCAAACAATTAATCAATGTGCGTTGTAGATAATTTGGACCGGTTCGCCTGCGAGGTAGGCAGCCCATCGTACGCTGACCGCCAGATTCGAAAGACCACCCTTAAAACTCAAGTTTCTCTGGACAGGGGTGGTTTCTGGCGGAACCAAAAGTAGTTTTGTGGTCCCCTGGTTCACCCCTGTCGGTTCGACTACTTTTCCGTCGAAATCCGGACCCACCCATTTTTGCTTAAAATGGGAATGCCTTTGTAAATTTGGCCAAAAACGGAAAAAAAAAAAAAAAAATCGCTGGAAATGATTGGAATTGGTCTAGGAGAGTCGCCTTTGACCTCCTCTGTCGAAATTGCGTGCCTCCTGCCTCTTTTGCATCCTGTTTCTTCGACTATAAAATTGCGTCTTTGGTTTGTCGCAGGAAGATCGGCCTGGAGGTGACCTGACTTGGACATCAGCAAAGCAGCCTATGTGTCACCTGCACTATGCTGAGTTGGCGTCGCAGCACACAGCAGAAGGAATCGCTCCTTTTTCTCATGATCGCAGGAATGAATCTGGTAAGTTTTGACTTTCAATGTGATGTTAACTTAAAATGCCAGTACTTTTATGGTAGTCATGTCTGGTAAAAGTTCATTTTGGTTTTGTTTCTATTTGTGGGTTACTTGCCATTTCTTTACTGCTTATTCTCATTCCATATATACGGCTTGTTACTTGTGCCTAAAATATATAGCTGTGTTCTAATTTTAGTGCGGAACTGGAGGCAAATCATTAGTAATCTTTGACAGTAATGCTGCTATTTATTTCATTTGTATGGTACA